CCGCTCCCGCTCCCGGCCCCAGGCAGCGCAAAGGAACGGCGGCGCACTCCGCTCAATGTAAAACCATTTTTTAATTCTAAATCACTTTCACAACAGTGAAAATTAGTGAGGAGGAACGGTAACGCACTAACCGAGCCGTCCGGGCCGTGTGCGGTCGGGTTACGGGAAGGGGTACATACAAAAGCACACCAGGGAAAGGGGGAACCAAGCGTTAACACTTTTAGACTATTTCATCCTTGAATTGCCAGAAAATAAGAGCTCTCAGTCATGCTTCTGCAGCCTTCTCCATTATCTCTCTCACTCCTAGATAATGGATAAATCCATTATCTTTCTCACTCCTAGATGGAAATCCCCACCCCCGATCCATTAAAATTCTGGTTTTTAAAATGTATTAATTAAATGTATTTCAGTACCTCTTGAATCTATTGCAGTCACTTCTCTATCCTCTTTATAGGATAAAGGCTTCAAAGAGCTACCTTTCTCCTCCCTGCATAACCTTTCAGCATCGAGTTTCTCGGTCCAAAAGGAGAAGGAATCCATCCCTTACCTCACATGAACCTTCCCTTCCCATCAGCAGGTGGTGCTGACTGCGCAGGAGAGGAACCCAAAGCTGCGACATTGTAGGACAACCAAACAAAACAGTCCGTGCTCCTGGGAAGGGCCCCAGTTACCAAGTTACACATTGAGAAGAACCCTTTGCCAAAGTTCAGCTACTCACAAGTGTTGCACAGCAAAAGCTGGAGCACCACCTCAACTATAAATAGTTGAGCAATATATTCTGTCAGATTATTGAGTCAGGTGTAAATCTGACGTGACAAAACACTGCAGAAGCTTTGCAACATTCTACTTGCCAGATGGAATTTTGGAGGTAGGCAAGTTAAACTTCAGTCATACTCTGTCTTGACACTAAAAGGAAACAGTTTATAATTACATAAATAAACTTCTATAACAATTAATTAAAGGTGTCCTGCCCAGGAAACTCTGCCATACACTAAAAATCCCAAGCTACTGAAACAAAGTTTCTATTAACTGATTTGCTTTCAGTTTTTCTGTCTACTGCCAGGGAAGTCACAACATTCATCTTGCAGGAAATCATCATGGCTACGAGTGACCAGAATCAAAAAAATCTAAAAACAGTAAGAGAAAAAAAAAATGGAATTGCCTAGTCAGAGAAATATGAACTGTTCATCTTGCTAGGGAATCTCTCATACCTGTTTTGAAGGAATCTACACAAATACATCAGGAGTACTCTTTAAAGCTGAATACCCAACAGGATTCCAAAGCGACTGCAGATTGCTCACCTTCTGCAATATCCCCTCAGCACATTAATGGTTGTGGTCTCCTCCAGCACTTCAAATTAAAATCTTTGGTAGATTTTAGCTGCAGAGACTGTGGTGCTGTAGCTGTCCTGCTGTGGCATGGGAGGGTCTGTGTGCACCTGCAGAGAGGTCTCCAAACGTTCCCTACTGAGCATGTGCTGGCAAAGGCAGGATCTCAGCGCTCCTCCTGTGTCATTTTACAGAATGACAAGTTTTACCTCAAAACTCACGTAAAGATGCCTTTTGCTCCTCTCCCCAGACAAGCTGATCTCAGGTCTGTAATAGGATTTTATCTGGAGTACATGACCTTGTGTAGAAAGTCTCAAAGCCTTGAGGAAGATAAATGTGGCTACAGTGACGAGGTTGGGAGGGGATTATCCAGGAGTGCAGCCCAGGTGCTGCACAGAGCCGGGGAACACAAACAACACTGTTTGTCAGTGAGGAACTGGGCTGCCTCCAGCAGCCCCACCTGGCTCCACAGCCAGAGAATCTTCCAGTGGCTGGCTCCAGCATGCTCAGGCTTTAAAAAATTGCAGCATAAATTTGTATCCCTTCTTCTAACAGCCATGAGAACCATCAGGAAGGGTTTTCCATCACGCTGGGAAATAACAGACGGAAAAGAAACCGGAACCAGTCTCCAGAGCTGGCTCTGCCTGCATCACGTGCTGTGCCCCAGAGAGTCCCAGCAGAGCTGGGGACGATTTCCTGGAGAAGGTCAGATGTTGGTGGAGACATTAAACAACATCTGCAGCTCTGGCAGATCCATCGTGGTTGCAAAGCAGGAGATACTGGTCACACTGGAGAAGCTTCCTTACCTGCCCAGTCTGTTGGGATAGCTGTGTATCCCACAGGCCTGGTGTCACTGATTGGCACAGGATTTCAAAGCAGCACTCCCTTTCAGAGTGCAGCTCAACGCTAGGCCCATGGTTTGTGGCAGGAACCTGTTGTACAAGATATCTGAGCTGAAATACACTTTTCAACCAATGTTTTAATTACCAACTCTGGTGCAAAATGTGAGATTCCTCATTGTGCTGTGGTACCACCAATTCCTGAAGCCCATAGGTAGCTATGGAACCAGACACCAAGAGGTTTAAAATGGGATGGGGATGCAGTTTGTAACTGTTTCAGTGGCCTTGTTGGTCATGAATATATAGAATAATGGAAAAGACTTATGCAATCAACAGCCAGAACATTATCACCAGTGCCACAAACAGGAAGAGGCGGGAAAGGAACTGCTCATCCACATATTGAGGAGTCCCTGGAACAGCTGGAAAACAGGAAGTAAAAAAAACAAACAACAGTTCAGCTCCTTCCTTTTCTCTGGGATTGTGTGTATTCTGAATATAGTAGATTCATACATTGCAAAAATATGCAAAGAATGAATCTGCTTGGTGAGAAAGTTGCTACTTCCCACCCTCAGCCTGGCTGGCTGCACGGGCAGATCAGAAGGAAGACAAGTACTTCAAAGCAGGACTCCTTAGTTCAGTCCCACCCCCACAGATTTTCAGGGGACACAACTATAGTTAATAGGGAAGGTAATTTGACCCAAGGACAGCACAGGACCATGGCAATGCTGGTGTGATGTGAAGAATGAGTTTGTTCCTCATAATTCCTGTGCCATATGACATGGTGGACGATTTGCCAGGCATAACCTTCCACAAAGTAAGTTCAGAAAACCCTGGCCAGTAGGTGTTCTTGTCCAAAACAGATTCAGTTTGTCTACACTGAAGATGGGGAGGAGGTTCTCTAGGGATTACTTCATTGTTAGAGAGCAAGGTCACCCCTTGGAGTAACCCAGCTGGTTTTTGTTAATCAAAAATGTGAAGTAATTTTACTGGAAAGTTACTTCTTGTAGAATACAGATGACTGTCTCAGAGGTAAAGTTCTGAAAAATGAACAATCCTTGCATTCATAATTTTGTGGTACAGAGCACCAATTTAAATTTTTCCTTCTCATCTTTCAGGAAATGGTCCTTTCCTGCTGTTTTTAAAATCTGGGTCTCCTTCATACATCCCTAGTGACTCCTTTTTATTATTATTAGAAAGCCTAGTCCAATTTGTCTCATTTTTCAGGAGAAGTCTGCTGGTGTACCAGAGGAGACATCTGAATAGAGGAGAATAGTCTCCAGTGCCACTGTTCCTCTGCAGTCACTGGTCTCCCAAGAGGGCCTTCGGCAAATTATATGGAAATTACAAACTTGCTTCTTTTATGAGTCTGTGTACAAAACATACCAGCCACAGACCATGCTCTCTACAGAGTGTTTTTACCCTCATTTTGTGTTTCTATTGACAACACTGGTTACTGTTCAGAATATTTTGCCATTGAGCAGGTTATTTAAGAGTTTGTGAACTGTCAGTGATGGGACAGGAGGAGGATCCGTGGTACCTGGAGGAGGTCGCCCATCGTTTATGTTGAAGGCTGTTGCAAATATACCAAAGGGAAACGCCCCAATTCCAAAGGACATCTGGAAGCCACCATCACCAAACCCAAAGCCCTGGAATCCCTGCAGAGAACAAAGAACAGAAGACAAAACAGGTACCAATCACTTAGAGCCTATATCAGGGTATTTTGTGCAGATATTCCCTCTCACTGGCTTTCCCACAGCTAAAGGAAAGCCAAGCTGTCTGTCACCTTTCAGTCTGACACACTTTTGTAGATGTCTCCTTAGCTTTCCTGGGTTTAAAATATTTCAGACAGCAGCAAATTCACCAAGGTTTCTCAAACCAAAGGTTTGAGAAAATGAAAACTAGCAACTGCAGCTCTTGTTTGAAGGCCACAAATTAGGACAGTGTTTCTCAACTGTAACCTTTCTCAACTTAAAGTAGCAGGTATCTGCCAATGTATCAAAATCAACAGAAGGAATCCTATTTAGAATGTCTTAACAATGTATCATGTGTTAACAGCTGTTAGCCATATAGGAAAGGTACTTAAGAAAATAACCTAAATTGCTTTTGGTGATACATGTGCATCAGTTACACACTCGCTGGAATGATAAATTGCCAGTGGGATGCATAGGAAAACTACAAAAAAATTACCATGGGGACTCAAATTAAGGTGGAAAAATCACCTGGGGCAGGAATGCAAGACATAAGGAAAGGAGGAAAAAAGGAAGTTACAATGCAGTAACACTAACCCCGTGAGATCCAGACTAAAACACCACATCAAGTCATAAGGTAAGTGTCCTGAATTGAGATGAATCTTGCTCTGCAGAAGCTGTGCTGTTTGAGAACTGACTGTGTGTGAACCTAGGGGCTTGTGTCATGCCTAACACTGTGGAGAGCCCACAGTTCTGGAATCCAGCATTCTGTCCTCTCACCTCAGGATTAAAGCAGCGATACCAGTTCTGAAAGACCCTCTGGTTTATCACCACCAACAATGGGAGGACAAAGATGATTTTACTCCTATAATAAAAGTTTCTTGGTTGAACCTTGATTTCAGGAGTTGGTCTTTTGACCATACTCTTCTCAAGCATTTTGACATTAACTCTGAGGGACAGCAAAGCTCTCTGTGGCAGGTACAGGATCTGAATAGAACAGCATCACTACTGCTCTGCCTTCATACCCCATCCCTCTGACTTACAGCAGCACCAGCTGAAAGGTTCAGGTAAGGTACAGGAGCTGATTTAATAAGGCAGCAATGCCCTAGTGAAAGAGAACAGCTGAGCTCCCAGTACATTCAATACAGAAATGCACCTTAATCACACCCTGCAGAGTTGTTTGCTTGAAGCATGAGGGAGACAATCCTCTCCAAGGAGCCCAGGCTGAGTTACATGGAAATGTGCCATTGTTTCATCAGGTCATGCAGTGCTGGAGCACACTGTGGTCTGTCCTACCACCTACTCCCACGTCTGCTCCATCTGTGCCAGCTTCTGTTTACATTCACCCTACGTAATCTCCTCAACAAAACCACAGATCCCTCTTCAAATCATGTATCCAACAGATACTGACTTTCTCTTGCTTCTAATGCCATGGTACAGTAACATCCCATTGAAATGAGAGAACCAGGTGTCAGTGTCAAAAATCTAAATTAATATGTGGATTAATTAATGACACGTAAGTTTTGACAGAAATACACTTGCACAAAGAATTTTCAAAGCAAAGCAAAGTGTTGCATGTATTGAAATGTGGAGAACAATAAGTATGAAAAGCTTTTCCAGTGGTAGCACACTGGAAGTTGGGCTGTTCTCTGGGATGCTGAAGGTACCACAGGAATGGAGCTCTGCCACAGCACAGCTATCAATGATTCATGAACAGCCAGCTGCAGTTGTTGAGGAGAGCAGGATGTGTAAGCTGCAGGATCCTCATGCAGCTCCTCTCACACATTATGTCCTCCAGGATGAATAAATAGCACTAGCAATAACAACTAAACCACTCAGGCTCATTTGATCACTCACCCCTCTGTTCTCTGGTTCAGGTCTCTGTCCTTGGGGTCGTGGTGGAGTTTTCTCTCTGCAGGAAGTTGTGAAATTAGCTCAAGTGCAAGGACATGTGACAACAATATCTGCACCAGGCTGGCTAATAATCAGAACCACCATAAAAGACAATCTCCTGACAGTGTCCTGGGGCCATCCAGCAGGGCTGGAGCAGTGTGTGAGAGAGCCAACAGCAGCTCTGGACCTTGAGCAGCACATAAAGCTGCACTTCTGAATAACAATTACCCATTGCAAAGGCTAAAACCTGAGGATGTGAACATTTAATATAAGCTTCTCTGGTCAGACAACAATCACTGCAACCTGCCACTTGTAACTGATAATTAACACTTGATTCAAATTAAAATGAATTGCCAGTAGAACAAGAAATGTGAACAAATCCAGGCCCTGAAAAAGCCAGAAATATTTGGCAGAAATATCAGATCTATGTCTTCTGACAAAGTATTTAAAATTGTGAATTCAGCACTTTACATTTTAACCTTAAGACCCTAAACTAAAGTTTCATCTTTAATTTTCAAATGAAAATAGTTGCATTGAGGTTTCTTACCTGGGGTCCTGCTGCCCAGTGCTACCTCTTCCATAGAGAGGAATAACTTTATCTCGACTGATTCCTGCTTTGCATACAGGACACACTTGTCTGTTTGGCCTGGTCTCTAGCCACTAAAAGAAAGGAAATTATAAGAAAACTACTAAAATACCATAAAAATAACTATGCAAACCTCATTTGCAGCCAGGCAGAAAGACTTTAGCAATTTGTCACAAAGTTCTGGAGCAAAACATTTTAGTAAGTGCCAAGTGCTCCCCAAAGTGGAGTTGGCACTTTGGCTGTTCTAGTGGGAACAACTTGCTGATGTGGACACATTCAGATCTGCACTGGAGTAAAATAAGAAACAAAGAGTGTGAGCAGTCCTACAAAGGCCAAGGGCTAGCACAGATGGCCTTCCTGTCATCCACCTTCTCTATAATGGCACCACAATGTCAAACACTATGTATGCAAAGACAAGTACACTCAGCACTTAAACCTGCAAACTAAACCCTGCAAGCTCCAACAGTAATTGTACCAAAACTGCAATTATGCAGGGCTTAAGAAACTCAAAGTGGAGACAAGTGGAACAGAATCTAAGTTTTCTTGTTGCTCAAAGAGCAGATTGGCAGCTGTTGCACATTAAGCTGCATGAGCAGGTTGTGACTGCCCTGGAGAGAAAAGCACATTTGAAAAGAGGGGGATACTCCAGAGAACCAAGGGCTTTATTGAGCAACTGGAGCTGATGAAAGACAAAGTAAAAGAAAACCTGTCTTACCTGGTGTAAACAAGGCCAACTGTGAGCATTCCCAGGACAATTTGTTCACAGAGCAGAAAAAGGGAGGAAAATAGAATTAGTTACTGAAGTCTATATGACAAATGTGCAGTGTACAGGGATAGTGCAGCTTGGTGACAACAGAACCCTGGAATCCAGCATGGCCAGTTCTGCAGCCTCCCATCAAAACCATTTTTGCAAACACAGCCCAAGACTGATCTCCACTGGGCTTTTTTCAGGTTATGCAATCTAAATTCCTAATGTGGTTCTGTGCATCTCCCACCCCTGGGTTCTCATCCATACCAAAGGCCCAGACAGAGCTGCATTAATCTTAGGATTTATTGTACAAATTTTCTCTTCTGATACCGTGAAAAACTATCCCAGAGCCAAGATGCAAATGAGCAAGACATCAGTAATGAGAATTTAGGATCTTAGAAATTGAGCTGAAACATCAGCCACATTCACAGAATCATGGAATAACTAAGGCTGGATGGTACCTCAGGTAGCCTCTAGTCCAACCTGATGCTCAGAGCAGGGTCAGCTATTGAGATCAGACTCAGTTGCTCAGGGCAGAGAAATTCCCATTAAACAGATTAAAATGCTATGGCAAATTAAAAAAAAGGTCAAAGACAAACAAGTTACAAGATAAAACTGCTAAACAGCCATCTGCTTTCAAAATTGTCTCAATAACACCATTCAGACAAGACACCTGGTACTTTTAAGGTTCCATTACCCCAAATCCTTTTGTGCAATAATTTAATGTTATTTTATCTTAACACGCCCTAAGCCAGTGATTTTCCATCTCCCCAAATAAAATCCTGGATTTTCAGATGTTATGTATATTTACATAGGAGAAAAACACTTTCAGGCTTCTTTTAATTAAAGATTTAGCCCAATGTGTAAAATAAACTCCAACCCACCCACATTTGGCCATGTCAATTCTTAACTTCTTCACATTCAAGAAGGGGTATATTCAAACTAAGTTACCCACATGATAATGCACAGCACAGATATATGTGCAGAATTTATTTCCAAGTCTAATTAAAGAACTAAAAATTTCCTAACACGAGTGTTATATCATGGGAAAAGAGAAATTGCCCATATGTAAAAGCTTATTGCCTATTTTTTTTTTTTTTATGGTTTCAAAGGGAAAAAGAGCAAGCCTGGAGGAGAAACTACAATTTGGCCTGCAGAACCCAGATGCATATCCAGGTTTAGGTAGGCAGGGGTCAGAAAGGAATTTAGGTCTAAAGGACATATCTGTGCTGGGCCAGACAGCACAAATAAAATAACATACATAAGCAAACAGTATCAATGAGCACTGAACTGTCTGTGGGGCTGCTTGTTTGTTTGCTTTTACACAATAACCCAGCAGTACTGGGAGTTTAGGACACAGGAAACCCACCCCCTGGAATACAAGCAAAGAAAAGCAGCTGAGGAGAAAACCCAAGCTCCTCCTAAACCAAACCCACAGTCCCTCCTCTAGAATGACAAACACCCCAGGTTTTTATGGGATCAGACAATGGTGTTCTGGCTGCTGTGTGGGGCTGCAGCACTTACCAAAAGAGGTGCCCACACAAGCTGATGACTGCATCCTTGGCAGTGTCCAAACAGATGTTGCACTCAAAGGTGTTGTCCTGATTAGTGCTGTCCCCAGAGCCATTACTGCTGCTGCTGCCACTGGTCCCTCCAGTACTGGAGCTCTTTGTTGATGCAGAAGCTGTGGGTCCTTTGCTTGCCATCCTCAAGGACTGCCCAAACAAAGTCGAGAAAATTTTCCTCTTGGAATCCTAGCTGAGAGAAAGGGAAAAACCAAACAAACCTAAACAATTATTGGCATTATGAACATTGCATTCTGGCCCCGTTCCAAACTGGTAGTGACTTATCTAAGAAGCTCTTGAATCCTGTTGTTGATGGTTTTAGTTTAACGCAGCCAAGAGGGATCTTTTTTTAGAGACTAAGCTACTTTACAGTCCCATAGTGTGACCTGTATTTTACTGTCACTGATAAGCATCCACAGCCAAAACAACCCCCCTGTATTTTCTCATGAATGCCATTTGCTGTAAGGAGAATGAGCTCCCCATGCTCTTCCAAAATTCAACACAACTTATAACTGAGAGTGCAGTCAGAAGCAGAATTTAATCATGAAGTAATTCACAGTTTGAACAGACTGACAATGCAGAGTTTTAAGTTCTATGTTCATTAGTTTGGAATATTAATGACAATAATGGCAAGCAAAGGTGGCTTAGAACTTGAATTCTCTCCTGAGCAGTATTATAGGTGCTATCACAACAATACTGAAATGACTATCAAACATTTCTAGTATTTTCAAACTATTAAACATTTCTAATCTAGTAGTAAGGTAGTAATGCAGAAGTGTTGAAAATTTTACCTTAATGTGCTTGAATTTTTCTTCCATGCTTTTGTCTCTCATTAACATAATCATATTTACCAAAGAACAGCATTTATTTTATTTCAGTAGCAACAACCTCTACAGTGTAATTCCTTGATATATAAATTCCACAGTACCTAAAAATTTGAGACTCAGCACAAGGCATTTGCACTTCTAGAAATACTTTTACCAGTGCAAGATTTGCAATGCAAGAACTAAGAGAGTTTCAGTAGCTACAGAAATTAATTCACTAAAATACAAATGTTTAAAATGTTTCACTATGCTTTTCATCAAACTCTGACATCCATGCATCTTGAAGTTGCAGGAACAGGAATACTTAGATAAAGCTGTGAGAAACAAACAGGTGATTCAGATTATCTGAACTTTTTGCAAATGTACAAACATTGAAGCATTTTCAAAGGGCAACCTGAATTTTTCAGAAGGTAATTTCTTTTCCAACTTACCCCCCAAGCACTAAAGGCTTTCCTTAGTGTTGCCTCTTTGTAGCAGAGCTGCAGCTCAGGTGCAGGGCAGCAAACCAAAGCCCGAGGATCTCCAGCCGTTATTGCCAACAGCTTTTTTCCTACAACACAATCCCACTGCCCAGCCAGGAAAGCGTCACACCCAGACCTTGTCAAGTATTGCAGCAAAGCCTCAGTTACAGCAGGTGAAATCTATCTCTGCAGAGCTTTTTCACTCTGTTACATCATTTTGCACAGTGTCCCAGAAGGGCAGATTTGTATTCACAGATGCTGCACTTCACCATAGGCTGCTTTCAGTAGTGCTGACTCTGAGCATTTCACACCACGACTCCATTTACACCCAGTTCCTTGTACAAAATTAAAATCCATGTTAGATCAGGGCAGATGGAAATGCTGCCAGCCTACAAACTGTATGCCAAAGACATTTGGATTTTTCACACATCCTTACAACCAGAACCTTCAGCCTGTCTTACTCAGTAGTTGAAGTGAAAACTTATAAACTTGGACCTACATATATTAATATAAAAATTGAGAATACCTCCTTAAAACCAAGGAGTTAACACACTGTAAAAAATACTGCATCCCTTTATGGAACAGTCACAAGAAACATCTTGACATATAACACAAGGAAAAGAAGTGGACAAGAGGCAAATAAATAAATAAATTCTGAGTCCCTAATACCAATGTGGAAAAAAAGTTCCTTTTTCCAAATTAAATTCTGTATATTAAAACAATGAATCTGAAGACTTGTCAAAAAGATAAAATCTGTATCTCCACAAAAACTTACTGAAAAAAACCCTCAGTTTCAGTAACTACAACAAATAAATAAAATGTTATGAAGAAGGATGACAAAGAAATCCAGAGAGCTATCAGTAATGCTATGGAATAAAGATGGCTGAGACAGAAGAAAGATTAAAATGACATCATGCAACAGGCACTGAATCTCCTTGCCTAGAACAGGTCATTCCTTAATCTCTGCTGGGGATCCTCTCCTCAGTATTTGTTCACTGGCTGAAGGGGCCCAGTGACCTGTTAGGACATAACCAATGTAAAATATCAAAACCATAGCAAAATGCAACAGTAAAAAAAATAAAAGCCTTCTCAAACACTTGCTTTTATCCCTGGAATATCCCAGTTTAACAAAACTGGTTTGTAACAGGTGCTGCTGGGCTCTGTACATCTGCACATATACAAAGAGGCAAATGTGGAACAGCTTCCAGGGGCTAAATTTACATTTGATAATCACATATTGTGTAGCTTGTGAGTGTACTCTGAATCCTAAAGTACAAATTCAACTGCAAATGGAACTTGTTCCGAGCACAAAATGAGCTCAAAATTGAACAGTCACTCAAACCTCTTGAACTCTGAGACAAAACTCTCCAGGGGAAAAAAACCAACAAACCATAAGCAAATCACAAACTAAAAAAATCAACAACTATCACAACAGACCAAACCAACCTTATTTTCAATTTGCTTTAGAGTTTGGGAGGAAGACTGTGAGTTCACTGGAACAGAACATGACTTCTGGGGTTAAGAAAACACAATTGAGGGATGCCAGTCAAGGTTTGCTACAAACTTATCCTCCAGATCAGGTCTCCAAATCAACCCAGGAGGCATGATGAGCAACAAACAAAACAAGGGAAAGGATATAAAAATCGGCTGATACCTTACTGCAGGCATTCAGAGATCTTGTCTTTTTCTTATTTCTTTGCTCTCTACATATTTACAAGAAAATGGTATCTTTGTTTCATAAAAGCCATCTGGATTAGCTGTTTATTTCCTTCAAACCACAATCCCTATGTTATATCCCAACAGGTTGTTCTGAAAAACCTTTACTACCCCCAAGAATCAAGAGTGGCAGCAGATGAACAGTTAAGAAACAAGGAACTAATCTGCAAGTAGGCTTCCAAAATAAACACAGAAACCTGGTGGAGCATGAAGCCATGGAAGTGGAGGTACCTGAGAGGGTGGAACTCCAAGAGGAGCTGGAATTGTGTGGTGACAGCTGAGAGCACAGGAGGTCCAGGACAAGAGTAAGTGCAGGGGCCTGGGAATGTCCATGTGCTGGGTACAGATCTCACTAACAGCCAGTTAAAAAGAAATTTCCCTCTAATATTTTAAAAACTTCATCTGTAAATCTACTGCTCACCAGGAAAGCACGAGCTGAGTGGTACTGTCAAAGATCACACTCCTGAACTCAGCCAATGACTGCATTTGCCAAAGTTCACTGCCCAGACCTCAAAACACAGCAAAAACTCTTCAGGACAGCCTAGAGGAGTTTTCACCATAAGTTACAATACACAAAAAAAATCTGCTGAAAACAGCAGGTGAACATTAATTTAACCTGGGAAAGGCAAAGAGGGAGGATAAATTAGAAGCTAATTCCACCTATACAAAACAGTCCTGGCATACATGTTCACAGCATGACATTAGGATGTCTCAAGTATTTAATTTTTTTCATGAACAGTGAGAAAAAGTTCTGGTGAGGATATAGAAGTCTGGTTAGTTTATTAACAAAACCCAAAGTTTGTTCCTCTTTGCCATAACAATGAAATAACAAGAGCAGCACTGTTGGATGTCAATTCCACAGGAAAGACCCTTTTCCATATTTCTTTTCTAATTAATTTTATTTTAGCTAAGATTACTGAAACTTAAATAATCCAAATCTAGTTTGTTTATGAAACAAGTTCTGATTTAGTTCCTGAACCTTTCGCAGTTTAAATCAAAAAGAAGATTTGTAAGTGCATTTTTCTTATCCCTAAGGTAATAGTGTCATTTTCTGACACTTAAAAATATTTACAAAAGGAATATTCACATTAGAAATTCAATTTAAATCTAAAACTACTACTGAGAGTTTATAAAAATATGCACACTCATAAGTTTAACAGTCTTGATACTTAACATATTACAATTGCCTGGGCTTCAAGTACAACCAGGTAATCTTAGCTGAAAACTGCTGACAGCGTCTAGAAGAAAGTGCACTGACTTCTTGACAGTCATTTTAGATATTTTAACTAACACATGACTGTCCTGTTGTTAATCATTAAATACATATTTATCTCTCAGTACTTTTTTACTCTTCTCTGTCCCCCAAACACGTTACACTTTAACTCCTTGGAAACATTTCTCGAGTTCATCTTTCCCCTTCGTGTAACCTGTACAGCATTGGGCACCTGCTTCTTAACACCACCACAAAGTGGTCCCAAAACACGAATTCATGAGCTCGCTTGCTCTTGCCAAAGCAGCCATTTGCCTCCCAGCCCTGCCTGGCCTGGTTTCATTAACTGGGATTCTGCAATGCACAGAATTACAGGCAGTGCTGCCAGGGCCCAGCTCGGGTGTTTCAGGAACACCGAGGAGTCCATGTACCTTGTAAATGCAAACAGCAAAAACCCCCAGTGATTAAAGCAATTGCTTTTTTTTTTTTTTTTATTCAGTTTCATAAAGGTTTAATATAGACTACAAGAAAAATCTTTCAACAAAGATTTTATCCTCTTACCTCACAAAGTCTAAAGGAAAAAAAAAAAAAAAAAAGAAGATAACCAGTTGGGTAACGCTGCCCCATGGTTTTCCTGAGTGAGACAGACGTGCCTGGCTAACCCAGGTTAGCAGCAAACGTAAAAATATCAAACACAACAGTTATTATATACAACAGGCGTGATTTAAGAAGAAGCGAGAATTAATATAGGAACAATTCCCAAAATATAACCAATGTCATGCCCCAGCAGCTGACACCTCGCGACATTCCCCAAGCCAGC